TTGTTGTTGTTTCAGACCATCATTGAATGCTTGAAGCAGGCCTGCACCGGCGAGCTCCCTCCCAACTCTCGCTCCGGCCACTCCTTCATCCACGACCCCAAGGTATAAATTCCTCACCTTTTAGGTTTTTATAGCAACCATTTCGATTAACAAGAAGAGAATGGTGATGGGTCCCGTCGAATTCCTTTGTTAAGGTCGCCGGCGAGACCGAAACCAAAGGGCAGATCAAGCTCCGGTTCAAGACTGCCGCGGGTAAAGATGTTGTGTGCATTCGGTCCTTCCAGCTCACGCAGAAGGCGTCGAAGATGGAGTTCAAAGCCCTCGAGAGTGTTCTCCAGACAATCAACCCTCATACTGGAGAGGTGACACTAGCACCTACGCATACTTGTTAACCCATTTGTGGAAATTGTTGTTTTTGTGCCGCATTATGTGATGGTAAAATGTTTTGTGAGCTGCAGAAGGTTTGCCTTAGCTATAGGTGTGCGGATATGGACAGGGAGATCCCCCAGTTGATGGGGGTATCTAAGGCCATATTGGAGAACGTTATCTTCGTGCACCAGGACGAATCGAATTGGCCTGTGCAGGATCCTTCCACTTTGAAAAAGAAGTTTGATGATATCTTTTCTGCTACTCGGTACCTTTGAATGCTTTATTGTTTGTCTCTGTTCTTGTTATTTGAATAAATTGTAGATGTAAGGATTTGATCCTATGTTTGTTGATGGATGCTGGTTTCCTATGTTTATGCTATTTCATTGAGTCAATATGTTTGAATTTAGAAAAAAAGGTGGAAAACCGATAGTGAATATGATAACCACATTGCAGAGACACATTTTTAGGTTACTGCAAATTTGTGCTTGAATTTAATTAACAGTCACTGTCAAATTCATTTTAAAATTGAGATTTCAAATATAACTACAGATTTTAAACTGTAGTTTTTTTCATTTGATATGACAAATGTTAAAGCAGCTGAACATGGAGGTTTTTGGATAGAAATGAAGTCAGATCCTGAGATGATTATAAGAATAATAATACTGAGGAGGGCTTAATGCAATTCAACTCTTAGTCTTTTTTGAATCTGTTGGTTAATGGTGTATTAAGAATGTGGTTTATATCACATCCATAAAATAAAATTATAAAATAAAAATTTTGTTTGAGGAATCAAATGGTACAATGGTACATTTTCATCATATAAGATTAAATAAGATTGAGTTTCTGATCCTTATTACATTAAGAATGCATGCTAAGCTTTTGTTTCACGCATCCAGCTCTCAATACGTCGGTGATCCAGTGTTGAATTTAAGGAATCATAAAGACAAAGTAATGCCTTTGATATCCTTCACAATTATTGTTTGGGAAATTAGTCCTGTTTATTTGTGTTTTGACTTGGATTTATTTCTACAAGTACATATTGACTTGTATGATTTTGTGAGTCTTTTAGCGATTCTGTTCAATGTTGAATTTTCTTCTTTGCGATCGATTTTTTGATATTTTTTTATAAAAGAAATTCCATGCATTTGAATTTCAAGCCGGCTATTTTGTTATTGTGTTCATGAATGTTGATCTCATACAATATGATCCCACTTTATCTTTGTGTGTTGTATAGTTATACAAAAGCTCTAGAGGTTATAAAAAAGCTTCACAAGGATCACACGAGATAAAGACTTACAAGTTGAAATTAGAGAATCTTCAAACTTTAAAGGATGCATCTCATAAGGTTGTATTCCTTTCTGACATGTTATTTCTTTTATATCTTTTTATTCTCTCATATCTATGACCTTAGTTTTCGTGTTCTATGTTCATTTATTATTTTAATATATGCTAAAATAGAACTAAATTTGTTTATCCAGCTCCGGGATAGTATATCCCAGGAGCAGGAGAAAAGTGAATCCCTAAAAGCACAGATTAAGGAAATGGAGAGGAACATTCAAGGTGTAGAGGACAAAATCTTACATACAGAATTACTTTGAAGGAATTGCAGAAACTCTTAAGACCAGATTTCAACGAGTACTACTGCGAGAAGCACTTTATTTAAGCTGCAACAGACACAGTATGTTGCCCTTGCTGAGGAAAATGAAGGTCGGCTAAGAAACCTGACCTTTACATATTGAACATATACAAACATGTGATTGTTGTACAAACGTGCAAAATATTTATTTCCCTTGTTGTTTATTCTCATTCTGTCCATTTGAGGTTTCCAACAGTTTTATGAGTTGTTCTTTCGATTACTCTGATATTGTTTGATAATGGGGGCAATGATTCTCATTCTTCTGCATCTCCATAGGTTGCAATACTACTAGCTGTTGCTTTACATGCATTTATCTTTTCAGTAGTATGCATGTTAAATTTTTTGTCGGCTTCTTCAATGACTTTTCTCTTCTTTCATCTTTTTTAGATACTGATGATGAGTTAAAAGAATGGCAAAGCAAATTTGAAGAAAGGATCGCATTACTACAGTCTAAAATTAGTAAGCTGGAAAGAGAGATGAATGATGAAGAAACCAGAAGTTCCACATTTTCACAGACAATTAATGAGTCCATGCGAGAGATCGGAAAACTTCAAGCTAAAGCTGATTTAATGTGCCGCTTCTATGTTTCATTGGTTTCACATTTACCTTTTATGATATGCAGTTGACATTGCATGTATCTCAGGCTCACATATCATCGAGGCATGAACGTGATTCAAGGATACAAAAGATTATTGGTAAGCATAACCTTGGGTTTCTTCTTGATGCCCCTTTCAGCGAAAACGTGGCTGCCAGCCTCACAAATAGAATTAAAACAAGATTGTTAGATCTTGATAAGGACTTGCATGACAAAAAGGTACATTTAGTCTTAAATATAATTTTCATCTAAATATTTTCGGCAGTGTATACAACTGTACTGCCAATGCAATCTAGTCATTGATAGCTCATGATACTTATTAATTTCCTTTTGAAGTGCCTGTCACAGTGCTGCTTTTGCTTTCTATCTCGTAAAATCAGTGTTACCCAGACATAGGACATGAGTGCCATGTGGTCAAGAAGTCGAAAGGGAAGTATGTTTATGTATACAGATTACAAGAAGTGAAATGGTTCTCCACAGATGCTTATCCTTTTGTTTTTCTTAACGGTTTTGATATGCATGCTTACGTTTGAGTTTTAACAATTACAATGTGAATTTATTTGATATATCTTCCTAATCTAGTGTATTTTACTCACCGAGCCTATGTTTTTTTCGTTTATTACTGGTAGATGAATATGCAAAATGACATTTTAGTTTCTCTTTGGGTGCTTATTTGTTTTGATAGTAACAGTTACATGTTATAATCCGGGTAGATGTTTGCATGTGATGTTTGTATGTATTTTTTACACTTGCGTAGGGGCCGCCATGCATCCAAACTTACTGAGGAGGAAGAAGATGAAGAATATCTCGAGGAAGAAGATGGTTTGGCTGGTACGGGAGGGATTCGTCTGCTTCTGCAACCATCTTGTAAGTGCTACTCTGTAATGCTAGCAGCTGATTGGTTCAACTTATTTGTGTATGCAAGAACATTTTTTTTTTCACCTATCCATGCGGTTCAAATGTTAATATATGTGGGCTGGTCGGGTGCCACTCAGTGTAGGTTTTTAATGAGAGTGTTTTGGTTGTCAATACTGCCCCTGAACTGACAAATTATCTAGTTTTGAATTTCATATCCAAACATAAAACAGATGAAAAATTGATGTCAAAAATCAAAATCTAGCAATTTGTTAGGTTCATATGTTTGGGGCAAATGCAGTCTTGACTTGCATTCTCTTATCCCAAGTTTTTGAATATTAATTTTACTTAATGCCTACTAACTGGTGACAACTGTTCAATTAAGGGTTCTTTGAATTTTTCCATAACTAAAAAAAAAACTGAACAGTTCATATGAGTAGAGAAGAGGTCTCTTATTTTTGCTGAGAAATAAAGAAATTCCCCCTTGATAATGTTACACTTTCATTGCAGGTATACAGGGGAAGATGAGAGACTATCAACTTGCTGGATTAAATTGGTTAATACGATTAAATGAAAATGGCATCAATGGCATTCTTGCTGATGAGATGGTAAGTCATGATACATGCTTAAAATATAGGTTAGTTAATTGGTTCGCTTAAGGCTTGTTAAGGAGTTGATAAATTGTGAGGTTAGTTATTATTATTATTTGTTCCATTGCATATCTTTCAATATCATTTTATGGTTTCCTTTGCCTAAAAATTATGTAGGGTCCTATACTAGTTTTGGTTAAGGCCTGTTAAGGAGTTGGTAAATCGTGAGGCTAATTGTTCTTTCAGCTGCATATTTTTTTCAATAACATGTTTTGTGGATATAAGTATTGCCGTATTGATGGGAATACGGGTGGGGAAGATCGTGATGCTTCGATTGAAGCCTTCAATCAGCCAGGAAGTAAAAAATTCATTTTCTTGCTTTCAACAAGAGCAAGGGGGCTGGGGATTAACCTTGACACTGCCAATGTGGTTATTCTTTATGACAGTGATTGGTAGACATGTTTTTCTGTATTTTTTTGTCGTTTTACTATTTAGCACAGTTCTCAATATGGTGTCCTATTGTTATTAATCTCAGGAATCCGCAAGTTGATCCGCAAGCCCAAGATTGTGCACATAGAATTGATCAAAAGAAAGAAGTGTTCCGGTTTTGCACTGAGGTTTAGCTTTACTAAATGAAGTTTACTGACTCTTCTTATGTTAATGTGAAATCTCTTGTAAGTTACTGTCATTTTCCCCTTGATACCGCAACACACCATTGAGGAAAAAGTTATTGAGAGGGCATATAAGAAGCTTGCTTTTGATGCTTTAGTTATTCAACAAGGTAGATTGACCGAGCAAAGGAGTAAGCATTTTATGATCTTCAATGTTATTATGAATACATTAACTCTTGACTAATGTCATATATTTTAGATAGTTATTGCTTGACTAATTATTTCTGACTTGTACCAAAGGATGAAAACAAGGTGGACTTTAAGAAAATTGTTAGTGAGAATTGGATTGAGCCACCCAGAAGGGAACGAAAACGCAAGCAAGTTTATAATAGTGACCATTCGTTCTGAAGAAATCTGATAGTGAAATCTTTGTATGCAACTCTAACTGATCCTCATGCTCCCATGGAGTTGCAAACTAACTATAATCATATATCATGAGCAATTATAGGAAGTTGCAAGGATCATGAAAATGCTCTGTTAACAGAAATGTTAAGAGTTTTTGATGAGAACAAGAATTGAAAATCTTCCATACTAGCTTAGTTTTAATTTTTAAATTTTGAATTTTTAAATTTTGAATTGTTGTTTAATTTAGTAGTTAATCAGTGAGAGATTTGAGGGATTCTGTGAGATTTCTAAATTTGTAATTTTTTTCTTTTAAAAGGATTGCTGTAATCAGAATGAAAAATCATTGAACGAATTGAAAATTGAAATGAAAATTGGGTTGGCTTAATTTGGGTGTGAAACCTAGGCCTCGGGTGTGAAACCCTAGGCCAATATTTCTTTCTCCCCCACGAAACAACTTAGCCGCCAAAACTCAATCCTCCTGTTCACCTTTCTTCTCTTGAACCCATCTTTTCCCCTGCATCCATCACAAACGGCTTCTTCTTCGTCCACTCACGTACAAACTCCCAAAGCCCCGATTCCTCATCTCTTTCCCCGTCGCTCCCTCAACAACCACCAACCTAGCCACCGCCTGATCTCTCTCCACCGAGCAACCCCTATGCTCTCCTCTCCTCCATCGTTCCGATCAGCCACCACCCCATCTCCCCGTCATCACTCTCTCTACAGGCCGCAAGCCCCACTTCAAGCCGTCATCGTCCCGACTTCCCTGCCCCCCTTCAACAACGAGCAGCCTCCACTCGCCAACACCCCTACTCCCCTCCACCTTCCAACAGTCCCGACGACCCCCTGATCTCCGTCACCTCCGAACAGCCTCACCGACGACGTCCTGCCCTTCGCCCGCGCCATCATGTCGTCCACGTTGTCGTTACGCCACCCTCAGCCCACCGTCGAACAGCCACCGCCATCCCAGGCACCTCCTCACGGCGCCCGTCGACATCCAGCGCCACCCCAACCCTGCGGTCCCCTCCTCCCTGCTCTCCCTCAACCGTCGACAGTAGCCATCGTTCTTCGCCCTCGAGCAGCCACCGTCCACCTCTCCTCAGATCGAAGCCAACCGTCGACAGTAGCCATCGTTCTTCGCCCTCGAGCAGCCACCGTCCACCTCTCCTCAGATCGAAGCCGCACCGAACAACCGTCGGCTTCCCTTCCCTGAGATCGAAGAAGAACAGAGATTAGAATATATTGATGGGTTTGTTGATAAGTTGGGCTGTGGGCTTCACTGTAGAAGCTAATGGGCTTTTGGATTTCTCTCAACATTTCTGAATAGTAATTCACTGAGGTTTCGTTTCTCTCAACTCAGTATTTTTCCGTTGATTTCAATTTATTAGTTAATTGCATGAGTATTGCATCTCTAAATTCTTATCATATATTCACTGCTTAAATTAAATTTGTGAGTTGTGAATAACTGAACATGTGACTGTTGAAAATTTGATATTGATTTTAGAACGTGTACAATGATAATGAATACTGCAATTAAATTGATCGGGATTGGAAATATTCATCACTACTTATGCAAATCTTATTAAAATCCATCAGTCACATTAGTTGTTTTTAAATTATTTTCCTACCGAATATCATTTTTTTGGCGAAACGGTGCGTTGTTCGAATTAAATCGCTAATTCCGACAGACCCCTTGTCTTTGTTTTGCATCAGTTTTTTTTCATAATATGATAATTCTTTTGTTTGTATATTATCACTTTGCCAATTTAGAATTTCATCGAACTGAAGTATTCCTTCGTGTAGAAGAAAAACTCAATTATCTCATTAATGCTATTACATGTTTCATTTTGTAGGCAAAGGATATGTTAGAGAAGACCTCGAGTGCAGCCATTACATGAAGAACTTTGATGCTGGCTCTCGCATTTCTATATTATCTTTTTCTTGTTATTTGAATGGATATTAGAGACAAATATATAAAATTGGATGCTTTTTATTGTGAGATATTGAGTAATCATTGTGTATGTATATGTTTTATCTTTAATATTATATTATCTATTTGAATTGGATATTCAGCACCTTTTGAGACATTTTTGTGTATGTATATGTTTTTGATTTCATTGTAAGATATTGAATAATCATTGTGTGAGATGTGTATATTAAATATAAACAGGTAGATAAATAAAATAGTTAAAATTTAAAAAATATTAAAATACACAGTCCAAACGATTACAACCGTTTGGCCGAAAATTAGCCCAAACGGTTGTAACCATTTGGACAGAAATCTGGCCAAACGGTTGCAACGTTTGGACAATATTACTCTGTCCAAACGGTTATAATCGTTTGGGATTTTGCCCAAACGGTTGTAACCGTTTGGGCGACCGTTGGGGTAGACTTTTCCCCAACGACTTTAGCCCAAACGGTTCTTTTTACAGCCCAAACGGTTGTAACCGTTTGGGACTGTGTTTTCCCAAACGGTTCCAACCGTTTGGGCTGTCCTGTTTTGTACTAGTGATACATATCTTATTTCCAGTCAGATGGTCATGCTAAAAGATACATGAGCCTAAAGTTAAATTTCCTTATTAAAGGGAAAATCCTGGTGGGGAAAGAAAATAAAAAGCTAGGAGCATTTTAATTTTAGCCAAATAATCTTTATATCCTCCTATATTGTCTAAAACGTGCGCTTCAAAAGAGAAGTGCTTCATGGTGTTTGTGGAGCGCACACTTTAGTTATGCTTTAAGTGATGAGGCATAGATTCCAAGGGATAGCTTCAGTTATGAGTTTTGAATCAATTATCATTCAAAAAGTTTCTAAGTGAATTTCAAAATGCCTTTCCAAACACTAGTGCCACATAAACCACATGCATCATGAAAGGTAAATAATAATTAATGGAACATGAAGCACTAAAGGTTGGCATAAGACAACTTGGTGAAGCTACTAAGTAGGATATTATAGTGATTAGAAGTACATAGTCGAAGAAATGAATAGAAGAATATGATTCATGTAGGTAACCCAAAAAAAAAATTGTGATTGATTGTTATTGTTGTTTCTATCAATAATTGTGTCCATATCATATTTGGAATTTACTTTGCAAAGCTCAAAATAAGGAAGATAACTCAGCAATGAATCTAAATCGATGCATAAGCAAACTCACCATCATCTTCCACGCAAGATACCCAACCGGCCCACCTCGTCCCTTATCCCCATCCTCACCAATCACATACCCTCCAACTCCCCCTCTCCTCATCACACTCTTCACAAACCCCACTTTAAATGTTTATACGTAAGTTGAAATTCAGAGATGTTTTTGTGTAACTACCGTGGTTTCTAGAAATCCCTATTTATGTTCCTCTTGTGCATGGATAGGTAGAAAGTGGTAGTTCTAGTGCACCATATGAAGACATATTCTTTTATCGGTAAAATACAAATACGTAAATTAACTGTATATTCATTAGACTTCTCTAACACTGAGACGTTTCATTGCATGCCGTAGTTCAATTTTCTGCTGTTAATCCCAACGGAGCTCTTCTATCACGAAACTAAAATTTTATATATTCAGCCGTGAAATCTGGTATTTTTAGATTTTTTTTTAAAAAAAAGGCAAACTTTGATAATTAATAGACACCAGCAAAATGCTTCACTGCTGCTAGAGGTAGAATTTAGCTCGTAAGCTCCTAAAAGGCACCAGAACGCATGGCCAAAAAAAGAAAGAGCTCTGGATTTCGCCCTACAACCTTCTCCATCAAAATAATCATAACAAGCTCTTTCTTGAGTTGCTTCCATCACCAAAAAACTAACAGGACTCAAATAAAACCAGGTCTAACAATTCTGTCAAAATCTTAAAGAAAAAACAATCCACAAAATGAACAATCATCATCAGAAGATAAATATATCAAACATCAGAAGTGCATATACCACATATTCCTATGCATGTAGCCATGAACAGCTAAAATAAGCAAGTAGGTAACAGTTCATTATGCAACAGGAAACTAACCCAACAAATGCAAATTCATATAAAAACATCTAAACCTAAACTTGACAGACACTTCTTAGGCCCATTTCATTACGAATGGGGTTACCTTCTTCCAGTAAGCAATGTACTTATCTAAACTATTAGCCAGTTAAATAAATTCTTGCTATATAACTAACATCTGCAGCACCAAAAAAAAAGTAACTTCAAATTTCTATACTATAAACTGAATTCTGCAATTTGCTAGATAACTATGGCAGAATAACGTAGCAGAAGCTGCAGAAATGTCATCTTAGGAGTGGTTAAAGAATGCTCCTAAGCTGCCACTCTAAAATGATGAAGAAGTTGCAAGTAGATGGAATATCAAAGATAATGAAAATAAGAAGTAATTTCTGTCCATTATATTTAATAGATCATGTCATGTAATAGTATTAATCTTTTAAAAAATTGCACCATAGGCAGATCCATGGGGGTGGTTCCTGCAAGGATTGCAATCTATGTTTGGACCCCATAATTATGGTAATCCAAGAGTGACTTAAGTCTCGTATCCAACAGAGGACTTACGTTGAAGATATCAGGTTCAGTCTTAAAATTAACTACATCAATCAATGGGGTTTTTGAGGAATTCTTAATAGGTACCTTTCATTCAAGGGATCAAACAAGGCATCATTCATGATATTCCAGTGGCAAATCCAGCTTGCTAGCAAGAGGTGTCTCGATTGGCCCTTAAATATGAGTAAGCTTTTAAATCACTCCATCATTTTCAATCCTCGAAAGAAAACTACAAAACCTCGACTCGTCAGCTTTGTCCATCCCCCCATAACAGTCCCAACTTTGGTGCCTAAGAACCTGAGAGCTTTGGAAATAATTGCCCATCGACATAATGGCCTATGACTCACCGAGATGATAAATACAATCAGGCTATAAGTATCAAGTTAAGCAGCTTATATTAGTCGAACAAATATGGCCCAGTGACTATGATGGTGATGAGGGTAGCCCTCTTACAAAGGAGGTCCTTGAGTTTGAAGAGTTTGTCCGGAATTATTTAACATGCTATACAAGGAAAGGATCTCACATTCCTTAACTCTCTTGAATACCATTAAATGGATTTCCATATATATCCTTATTACCAGTAGGGCTTCTCATAATTATATTGATGCTCAACTAGTCTAAAAATTCAGCCTCTCACTGGCTTATACAAATCCAAGTACGGCTCACATTGCAGGAGGAAGAAAGATATATATTGCGCAAGCAGTTGCACTAATGTCAACCTCCTTGGGCAAAGTATTTCCTTCTTGACTGACTTTTTTAGTCATAACAATTAATGATTACCAAGAAGTGTTTGGGGTCATAACGGATGTGCTCAATTGAAAAGTCAATCTTGACCTCAACAGTGTGCGTCTTAAGTTTACAACGGCAGACTAAAGTGTGTGTCTACTTCTTGCTCAGTTTTCTCATGGGATATTTCTTCTAACAACACAAGTTTGCCCTTCCCTCCCTCTTTAATCAATATTTTCCCAAAGACATCAAACAAGCTCAAGTTCTCTGATAATTACTTACAAATTATACTTCAATTAATTGGTGATCTTCTTGATGAGTTGCACAGCTTGAGATTCTCTTCTAAATGGGATTCCTAAACAGGTTATCAACTTTCAGGACTCATTTTGGACACTACAAGTAGCTAGTCATGCCCTATGGGCTTACTACATTTTGATCTCAGATGAGTGATTTATTTCAGAGATATCTCTAAACACTTCATTCGAACATAATAATCTACAACTCATCATGGGGGAAAAACACATTGCACACTAGTATTACCCACCTTGAGTGAGCATCTATTATATGCCAAGTTCTCCGATGTTGCTTTGCTCAACTACAAGTTGTCTATCTGGATCGTGTAGGTAAGAATAGCAATGGGCAATTGAAAATAGAAGTTATCGTGTAGGTAAGAATAGCAATGGACAATTGAAAATAGAAGTTATCTTTAGGCCTGTGCAAAAGACTCTAAAGGCTCTAAGGGGATCAGTGGAACTCACATGAGGATTCAACATCATTGTTGTTCATCACTACGCTAACCAACACCGACACCGTACATTGGGCAATGGAGGCCCAATGTACTTTTCCAGATTTAAAGCAAAGCATTAACTTCTCCGTCTATCCTCAAACTTCCAGACTTTTATAGGCATTTTCGCATTGAATATGATGCTTAACAAGGCAGCATTAAGGCAATCTTGATGCACAAGAGTCATCCTATTGCTTATATTAGCCAGTCCTTAAAAGTTAATGGCAAACTAGACTCCGCATGCGACAAAGAAATGTTGATCATTCTTCTCGCGGTCAAAAAGTGATAATACCTATAAGGTCAATCATAACACTATACTCACCAACCACATGCCTCTTAAGTACATATTGGACCAACATGATTCTTAAAACATCATCAACATGATTTATCACTAAGCTTCATGGCTTTTCTTCTGTGATGAAGTAAAAGGAAGGGCGGACTAACAAGGTTGCCGACACTTTTCTCTCCTACTTAAGGAATCTACTATATTCTCTCTTATCATAGTTAAGGCAGACTGACGGTTAGCTCTGAGATGCACACTACTGATTCCTTCTTCATTCAATTTAACGATCAACTACTCCAGCATTATTGCCTTCCGCCAAACACCACCAAGAAATATGACATCTTCCTCTATGAAGACAAGAGTGATGGCAAGCCTGACTTCTGATATTCATAGCTTTGTCATTTATGAGCTCCATGACACACCACTGAACTCTCAGGGGTCATTATGGACTTCAATGCATCATAATAGACCAGATACAATATATGGTGCGAAACCATGCCAATGTCAAAGTGGACTTACCATTTTTATCATAACTTTCCTCATTACTCATAAGGAATCCTCTTGGTTCGTGTACTACTTTGGTTATCTTCTTTCTAGAGTTTGCAATCCTTTGTTAGTTTAAGACTAAGAAATGGCTCATCTATAGCTATACTACTCTAGAAGGATCTTAATAAGGGTAGAAGGAATGTTGGACGTTCATGATGCCGTAGTTGATTTTTCAGGGAAAATTGTGATTGGTTTAGGGCAAATTGGTCAATTTGAATGGAAGGACTCTAATAATAATAATAATAACTCTAAACCCCCCTATAACAAGCCTTCAACAATAGAAGTTTTCAACCATAAGTACAAAAAAGATATTAAATATTAGAGATTTTGGAAGTAGAAGGTGGGTTTCAAATCATAAAGTACTTCTATTAATGCTAAATCTTGGAATAGAATATTTTAAATATTAGTTGCAATGGTCAAGATCTGTTGAAGAAGATTTATAGGGAATTGACATGAGAAATTCTTTAGATATTCAAATTAGTGATGTATAGAACGGTGTAGAAAAGAGAGAATAAAGATTTAAAATCATCATAGAAAAAAGTTCTGTTTACCACATAAATAAGTAAAAGATACATTCTAATGTTTAAAATATATTAATAAATTAAGTAATTAAGAAATAATATTGTGCCCAAATTGACCAACAGCCACTCCTATAAATTATGAAAATGTTTTTGCACAGATGTTTTGTTATATAAAGTACTTTTAATTAAATATTTTTGTATTAATTTCTTTGAAGCTACACTAATATAGTTTCTATTTCTTATATCGTGCGCATTATGCATATGCAATTAAACTAGATAGATAGATAGATAATTATAGTTTCTATATTCAACTTGTCAAAGATGGACCTAGCTAGTGCCGTTCTTTTTTGGCAAAACTTCAGTGTAGGTGCCTAATGTTTTAGCCAAAATTTCATACGGCTCCTTAGACTTTGAAAGTCATTGACATAAGTATTTTTGAATTTTTTTTCGTTAACAATTGCTGACGCAGCAGAAACTTTTTATCTTTTTATTTTCTTGTTGATTGGACTGCCTTTTCTCTCTCTCGCTCTCCCCTTTGCCACATGGTCTCTCTCATTTACATAGACCGGAATTTAAATGGTAACTCTCTTCGCAGCCCCTATTCTCAAAAAGAACACCCAAAAAAATTGCTCCTTTCTCAAAAATCCTAAATCAACAAAAAGGCACTCTTAACCTTAAAAATTCACACCAAGCTCAAATTATGAACTTGAGCCATTTTACTTCTCCGCTTCATCCCACACAGAACACCCAAAAGAACATTCTCTCATTCTTTAGATGATAGAGATAATTGGAATTAGGGATTCATTCTGGTCTATTTAAAAAACAATAAGAGAGAGCTGTCCACTAATTGTCCAAACAGCAAAGAAAAAGGAAAATGACAAAAAAAAATCATGTCACATAAGCAATTATCAACGGAAAACTTTAAAAAAATACTTAAATTGATGATGAGATTAACGTTAAAGATCTCTTTCGATGACAAGTTTAAGAACATAAATGAAATTCCGCTAAAACACTAGGGGACTAAACTTAAGTTTTGCCTTTTTCTTTAACGGGAAAATGCGATCAGAGGACTATGATAGGATCTATTTGGACAATCCTATAGCTTTGGGACATATCTACATTAATGTTTCCAAAATTCAAATCTCCTTTCCTCATTTCTTTCATCTAGTCATCCTCCCCGTCTACCTTATCATTTCTCGATCTATGCTCTTCCTACCATCACGTTGAACTCGATTATGTCAAGAGAAACATAAGATGAGAAATACATACATGCTCAACATAAATGCTAATGCCTTTGTGCCAATTCCTTTTTTAATTCAGAAAACACTATGATCAATCTAGCAAAAAACCAATTCGCATCACATATTGCAATGAAAGTGCAAACCAATTTCTTTCGGTGATATCAAAAGCCAGTAGCAAAAGATATTAGCATTCCTTAATAAGGAAAATCATACAAAGAGGCAAACCATTGAAGCTTAACCAATCAAACCCAGGAAGCATCCAAGGAGCAAGAAAAACATTAACGTATTCTGATCTCACCTAACCGAGAACTGCTCTTCTTCCTCCGCTTCATCTTCATCCTCTCCATCTCGAGCTGCACCTCCATAAACATCTTCATCCTCTTCAACTCCAACTCCTTCACAAACTCCATCCTGTGCCTCTCCAGCTCCATCATCTGCTGCTGCTTCGCACTCTCCACCCTCTCGTAAACCCCCGCAAAATTCACAATCGCCCTCGCAAGCTGTCCCATTTCTCCTCCTCCTCCTCCTCCTCCTCCTCCCCTCTCGCATCCAACCAAACCCTCCCATTTCCTCTTCTCACCCCCTCGATCCTCCCCCTCATCACCATCCAACTCTTTGTCATTCTCGCCTAACGAGCTCTCACTAGATGACTCCTGCGGCCCAAACCTCCAAGATCCACCCGAAAATCCACCCACATTAGAGCTAGAACTAGGGTTAGGTTTTCGGGGCTTAACCGTAAACATCAGCCTCGGACGCCGAGGCGGAGAGATCACCGGCGATCTCTTGCCCGCGGACGACGAGCTGGGGCCCATGAAAGCGTCGAACTTATCAAAGAGAGGCCACTGAGAGGTCCCCGGGGGCTTCGACTTTTCGAGCTTGTACTTCTTCTTCACCGTGTCGATCCTGTTCCTGCACTGGACGTCGGTCCTCCTCGGCCGGCCGAGGAGATCCTGGCGGGCGTTGACGGCGTCGGCGACCTCCGACCAGTCGCTCTGGCGGAGGTTCCCGCGCTCCAGCAGTCCTCTCGGCCGCCGCCGGCGGGGGGCATGATCTAGGGTTAGGGTTAGGGTTTGGGGTTGAAATAGAGAATTGGGGATTTTGGGAGAGAGGGGGAGTCGTCGTCGGTCGAAAACATCTGTAGGCACCGGACGGTAACGTGACCCGCGAAAAGAGAGGGTAGGTTTGAGTTTTGGGGACGGGGCTTGGAGTCATACCGGCGGTGAGCGGAACCAAAGTCTCGGGAAACAAATAAGAAAAGGGTTCTTTTTTCCATACTAGTGCCTTGTGTAATTTATATTTTGAAATTATGCATTAAATCATTAAAATTGCTGTCATATTCTCATAAGCTGTTCAAATTAGCACTTTTAGTTATTATTTCTACTATTGATTGTAACTAACTTCAAAGTAACTTTAGAAATAGCGGAAGTAATACCAAGTTCATGACTTGAGGGACTAATTTTGAAATAGCTTAAGAAATTGGGATCTAAAAGTATTTTTAATGATTTGTGGAACTAAGTCCAAAATATAAAATAAGTTTTTTCCCCATTGAACCTCCCCTAGCGTAGACTCTATTCTATGTTGCCACCCTTCAGTACTTGAATTTTAGAAACCACCCTTAATAGCATTCTATTAATGTAGAACCCCCCATGTCTATTTTTCATATAATATTCCATCTAAAAATTATAGTTTAGTAATTTTGCTCCTACACAAGTTTAGTTTTGTAGAATTTTCCGTACCAATGTTTACTCCTACACAAGTTTAATTTTGTGGAATTTTGAGTATCAAAGTTAAATTTTGTTGAACTTTGAATATCAAAATTTAATTAAATGTTTTTATATTAGTCCCCCACTTCTTCATATCTAAAAGATACAATTAAAATTTTATTGAAATTTGAGTTATTAAAATTAACTTTTATTAAACTTTGAGGCATCAAAATTAAATTTTGTTGAATTTTGGAAAATTGTTTGGGTAAGAAAGAACTTTGGGTTATGAAAGTAAGCAAATGAAATGACTTTGTTGTATTTTAAAGTTAAGCAAAACATTGGGTGGCTAAATTAAAATGCGAAATAACTTAGGCTATTTAAGTTTGATCCCAATGTTCAACAAAATTAAATTTGTATAGGGGTAATTTTTTATTGTAATTTTTTGGATGGAAAATTGGAAGGAAAATGACATATGTTTAGTTCTGTCTTAACAGAATCAATGGTAGCCAATAGTGGTTTCCTGAAATCCGGGTAATTAGGAGTGGTAAACATGTAATAGAGAGTAAGCTAAGTATGGTTCCATACTTCCATGCAAAAAAAAAAAACATATAAAATATTTAAAGAACTAATAGGTGGTCCATAGAAAAACAACAATTTCACACACTTTTATGCACGCTATATCTGGTAGTTATGTTTTTAAACTATTTTTAATTTTGTTAGTAACATGTGGAATATTTTAAGGTGAAAAAAGTGAATACTAGCATAAAAACAACAAATATGTATGATTTAGCAGATTTTCCTTTAAAGTTTAATGAAATATTCATAAAATTGAACTAAACATAGAAGGGTTTTTTTCCCTCATGAAACCGCCTCTAAAATAGTTCAAATCGGTAGAAACCACCTTTGAGATTTTTTTTCCGTTATGCGTAAACCACCTTCTAAGCGATTTAGTTTTCAAAGAGCTATGTTTTATCAATGTTTGCTCAATTAATAATACCCAAAATACTCAAACTATCCTCATTAGCCTCAGGTGCCTGACACGTGCTTCCCAACTATACGTGTAATTAATGAGGATAGTTTGAGTAATTAAGGAATTAACTAAGGGGCTGTTTGGTTCGTTTCCTTGATATAGAGAAATGCAATTCCATGTAAAGAAACACAAGTTTTGAGTTTTCCAAACTTTTCTAAGAAATAGATTGTTTTGCTTTGGTTCGCACATAAAAAATGGTGGGAAACCAATGTATTTATTTTTCTTGTGTTTGGTTCGCATAGAAAAAAAAGGAAAACTTTTATAAACAAAGCATAGAAGGAAAAAAATCTGACGTGGCAGAGTTTTCATCAATTTCACTTGGTTGGGGAAGGAAATCGGAGAGGGAAAAAAAATCTTAGTTGGCGGCGATTTCAGCAGAGTTTTCCCTCTTCCATCCGAGCGAACCAAAGCGGCACAAAGAAATGGACGGAAACAAAAAAGCTGACGTGGAGGGCTAAAAATCTGACGTGGAGGGGTTTTCTGAGTTTTCCACCCCTTATAATAGCGAACCAAACAGGCCCTAAGCAAAGTTTGACAAAAACGATTGATTGAAAACTAAAGCCACTTTTAAGCTGGTTTAGGGATAAAAAAAATTTCAAAAATTGTTTTTATCGATTCTATTTGACCTGTTTTTAAGGTGGTTATCTGTTGGCGATTCGAAACAATCAATCGAACCCTTGCCCTTCCGGACCTTGTGTTGAAAGTAGGAAAGTAGGAATAAACTACAAATAAAGATCTAACCTTGTAAAAATAGTAAAAGAGACGAACACACAGATTTAACGAGGTTCGGCAACGTGCCTACGTCCTCGGGAGCCACACCACACAATCTCTTTATTAATTGAAGAAGAAAATACAAGCTCTCAAACAAGGGGTAAATCTCTCTGAGATTCTCTCTCTCTTTGCAGCCAAAAAGCTCTCTTTTTGATGTCTTACAAACCCTAAAATCGTTTGGGGTATATATAGAATCCTGGTTGAAACAGATTCCTAAACAGATCAGGAAACTGTCTGGGCGATTCGCGGTCGACCGCCGTGCCAAGGCCGGTCGACCGGCCAGAGAAAAATCTGTTTACAGGGTCCTGTGCACATTTGCGGTCGACCGCAGCGGCCACGCCGGTCGACCGACCAGAGCGAAAACTTCTTCTCAGTCTCCTGCAGTGCACGCGGTCGACCGGCCCTGCCACTGCGGTCGACCGCACAGTCTTCTGACTGTTTTCTTCGTCTTTTCGATTGCAGCTTTGGGTCTACACACTTAGACTAACAATCTCCCACTTGGAGACCAAAGCGTCATCAATGAGCTCACCCGAACTCTCCCCTTCTTCGCATGTATCTTTTCCCCCAAAAAATTCTTTCTTCAATCAACATCCCGACGATCGGGCCGATCCTCGTAGTGTGGCTCCGCCTTCGTCTTCTACTCATGAAGGCCAACTGAAGTTGCGCACAACTCCAGTTTCTCAATGGTGACTGCCTTCGTCAACATGTCTGCCGGATTTTGACTCCCCAAAATCTTCATTAAATGCAACTTTCCGTCCTCAACTAGCGAGCGTATAAAATGGTATTTGACGTCGATGTGCTTCGTTCTGGCATGATATACTGGATTCTTGGCAAGATGTATAGCGCTCTGGCTATCACAATAAAGAACTCCTCTCCCTTGCTTCAGATCCAACTCTTCCAAGCACCCGTTAGTCACCTCGACATACTCAGCGTCGGTTGTAGACAAAGTCACAATTTTCTGCAGACGTGAGACCCAGCTCACTGCTGTCGACGCTAAGGTATAAACATACCCCGTGGTGCTTCGCCTCGTATCATGATCACCGGCGAAGTCCGCATCCACGCAACCCTGCAGCACCAACTCCTTCCTCCTGAAACATAGTGGCTTGTTCGTTGTTCCCCTCAAGTACCGCATTATCCACTTTACCTCAAGTCCCGCATTATCCACTTTACGGCCTCCCAATGCTGCTTTCCTGGATTGCTTGCAAATCTGCTCACAACTCCCACTGCATGGGCGATGTCCGGCCTCGTGCAAACCATCGCGTACATGAGACTCCCAATGGCTGAAGAATATGGCACCCTGCTCATATGCTCTCTATCTGTATCTGTCTTAGGCGATTGCTCCTCAGATAACTTGAACTGACTTCCAAGGGGTGTGCTAACAACTTTAGCATTCTGCATGTTGAACCTCTGAAGTACCTTCTCAATGTATTCAGCTTGGCTCAAACTCAATGTCCCTTCAGCTTCATCCCTACTGATTCGCATCCCTAGAATCTGCTTCGCTGCACCCAGATCCTTCATTGCAAATTCCTTTGCTAGCTGCCTCTTCAAACTGTTTATCGCTTGTTCGTTGTTCCCCTCAAGTACCGCATTATCCACTTTACGGCCTCCCAATGCTGCTTTCCTGGATTGCTTGCAAATCTGCTCACAACTCCCACTGCATGGGCGATGTCCGGCCTCGTGCAAACCATCGCGTACATGAGACTCCCAATGGCTGAAGAATATGGCACCCTGCTCATATGCTCTCTATCTGCATCTGTCTTAGGCGATTGCTCCTCAGATAACTTGAACTGACTTCCAAGGGGTGTGCTAACAACTTTAGCATTCTGCATGTTGAACCTCTGAAGTACCTTCTCAATGTATTCAGCTTGGCTCAAACTCAATGTCCCTTCAGCTTCATCCCTACTGATTCGCATCCCTAGAATCTGCTTCGCTGCACCCAGATCCTTCATTGCAAATTCCTTTGCTAGCTGCCTCTTCAAACTGTTTATCTCTTCTAAACACGGTCCTGCTACCAACATGTCATCAACATATAATAACAAAATAATGAAGCTGGACTCGAACCTTTTGAAATAGCAGCAATGATCTGAATTGCATCTTCTGTAGCCATTATTCTGCATGAAGTTGTCAAACTTCTTATACCACTGTCTCGGGGCCTGTTTCAAACCGTATAAGCTCTTCTTGAGCTTGCACACCATCTCTTCCTTTCCTTCTTCAATGAAGCCAACAGGCTGCTTCATGTAGATTTCTTCATCCAAGTCACCATGAAGAAAGGCAGTCTTCACATCTAACTGCTCAAGGAAGAGGTCTTCTGCAGCTACCAAACTCAACACCACTCTGATGGTTGTGAGTTTCACAACAGGGGAAAATATCTCCGTGTAGTCCACTCCTTCCCGCTGTTGAAACCCTTTCACTACTAATCTGGCCTTGAATCTCTTGCTTCCATCACTCTCCTGCTTGACCCGGTAGACCCATTTATTGTGCAAGGCTTTCTTCTGCGCAGGTAGCTGGGCTAACTCCCATGTCTCATTAGTGAGTAGAGAATCCATCTCCTCCTGCATCGCATGCTCCCACTGCTGAGATTCACTCACTTGCACTGCCTCTTCATAACACTCCGGCTCTCCGCTATCTGTTAAGAGTAGATAATCAAGTGACGAGAGGTATTTGGGATTTGGTTTGGGTACCCTAGATGACCTCCTAGGCTCCA